CCTTTAATTTGATGGTACTAAGGTGCACGTTTGCCAAAGAAGCCGTGTGAAATCTTCTCTAAACAACCTTGAAATCCCCTCCAAATATCTTTTCAGTCTCAAACTCCATCCTTTCCTCTCTTCCTTTCAAATTCTCTCTTCTAATTTTCTCCAGAAGAATGAAGACACAATGATTGCCAAAGACGCTTATCAAGTTCCTTGAAAAAGCTTTAACAGAGAGCTTCAAAAAGCCTAGAAACTCAATTCTTCCATCAAAGATCATATAGTTCGATCCTGAGATTGTCCTGTATAATTATTACAAAGTTTCTCATAAAACTAGTAAGAAAAGATTATCTTACACAATCAGTTTAAGTTTTTGCATAGATCATCCAATATGATCCTGAGATCATCCAGGACAATTAGTTTCAATTGAATGCGATTAAACCAAGATGAAGCATGGGATGACCAAAATCCATCCCTATTGATCTTATAGTATGATCTAGATCATACTATACTATTAGAATATCAAAATTAAGCAGATTCGATTTACTAATCATAGGATCAATTTTGGAATAATTTTTATAGATAGTATACTATAATATACATCATTCTGAATGATTAGAATAAAATATGAAATTCAAAATTTTACCTAAATTATGATTGGCAGCTATTTTTCATGATCATAACTAATCATTACGAATTATCTATACTATCCAGTAGGATTAGTTATAAGACCTTTTTGTATAGTATGATATAAATTATATAGTACAATTAGTTCTAAAACTGAACTTTTGGTTTTGACTCAATCTCACTCTCCGTAAGTGTATATGTGCATGCTTATCAAGCTAGCATACATCCTTACATGAATCGACTCAAGAAATTAAAAGTACATAAGTGATTATTATAAAAAACTTTGTAGCACAACTTATTCTACCTAATCTTATTCTTTGAATGTTTGTTGAATAGTGCATGGTGCTCCTAAAAATTTAATACACACACAAATAAAAATATATTTCAAATATAAGAAGACAATAGGATATGAGCCACAATATTTGTTACCATAAAAAATAAGAAGTTATGAGCTTGCGTTACAATAATCTCTCCCTTTTTTATGATTGCAAACATTACTTATTGAATTTATAAGATTATAATATTTTATCCTAATCTTCCCCTCACTAAGATAACTATATTTAAAAACAGGAGAAATTAAAAAAATTTAACAAAGAAATAAAAAAAAGAACCTAAATAAAAGATAAACTAATACAAATATAAGATGAACATATGTAGCTTAAACACAAATATAACAAGTCAAACATATTCTCCCCTTTTGACATTATCAAAAATAAGGAAAACATACTAAAAGCAAAAAGGAACATGCATTATAGACTCTGATCAGGTGGAGATGGTGCTGATGTTTAAGAAGAATCAATTAATTTCAATTAATTTTCTCAAAATGAGAAAGTTACCTCTTAATTTTATTTAAAAACATAGTAATAAAAGAATTGACCGTACTAAGATCTAGAAATAATAGAAATTTGAATTTTATTAACCCTAGCTCGGGCTCCTTATAGGTTAAAGTCCTTTTTAAATAAACAATTAAATTCATAAAAAGAGTTAGAGAAGAAAAAAAATTCTTTTTTAATCTTCTTATAAAAAATATATCTAATAGAATATAAATGCAAAAATAGTGTGTTGGAATTATGATTTTCAAACTCAAGTATCAAAAATATTATTTAGACACACAAGGTTTCTAAGATTTAAAAATACAAGAAAGGTAAGTTAACTTTTTGTTGGCTCATTTTGATCCTCCTTATAAATTTTTGGTGCACTTTACACATCTTTTCATTTTTTATACACATTTGTGCATCTTTTAATTTTGACGTACATTCCACATCTTCTCATTTTGGGCTCAATTTGGTCCTATTTTTATTTTTATAATTTTAATTCCTTTCTTAATCTTTAAAGACCCAAAGTTAACCCAATCCAATGGTAAAATTGAATAGCTGATTGAGAAAAATTTGAAGTGAATTTATCAACTTGCAAATGATATATATGACATAGAAGAAATGTAGGATGATAAAAAAAATTAATTTCAAAAATTTAATTCTTAAATTGAGATAGTTTTTGATTCAAAAGTGTAATAGTGTGATTAAGGAAATGACAAGTAGAAACATAATCCTTAATTTTCTTCCTTTAATAATTTAGAGAAGTTAAACATCACTTAAATTTTTTAGGTAAAAAGAAGATAAAATTTTCATTTAAAAAATTTAGAAAAGTGAATTGATTCTTGTATATAAATATAATGTGAAAATTGATTTGTTTGTGTTGATCAAAGATAAATCAAAAAAATAAACAAGATAAATAAAATAAAATGATTACAAATAAAAACATCAAAAACAATATAGAAAATATTTAATGAACAAAACAAAATAAATAATATATATTCATGCATTAACTATAACACATAGACACAAACAAAACTTTATACCTCATTATTTTACTCCTAGTCTAATGATTCAGAAACTAGGTCTACCTAGGAGGTCTTTTACTTTTTATCATTTACACTTATAGCATTTTACTTATTTTTACCATTTTTATTTGTTAGATGAGTTTTTAAATGACTTCATTCAATTTTTATAAGTTCAGATTTCCTACACCTAAAGCAAATAATGTCTGATGAAATGTTATCATTTTTACCTTTGTTCCACTTTTGTTAATGCTAATGTTTGTGCTTTAGTAGATTTTTAAATTTTCTTGTGATTAATGTTATCTCTTTACTCTCATCATTTAATAAGTTCCTTTTATCCATGCCATCAATTTTTAGCACTACAGTTTCACCTACATCCGAATGCTTTTGACTCAAACTTTGCTCGTAGGCAATGAGTGAGCCAATTAAATTATAAATAGAATGTTCATTCAATTTTTTTCGATTCAAAAATAGTAATGACTTTGGAATCAAACTTATCAAGTAGAAAATATATAATTTTATTAACTTTCTCAAAGTTTGAATATTCTTTACCTAAGGCATTAAATGATATCACTATTTGAGTGAATCTAGTACACATGTCTAGACTAGTCTCATAAGATTTTATGCAAAACAATTCATAATCATGCATTAAAATATTCAACCTTGATTGTTTGACCTCACTAATACCTTCGTATATAGTGTATAATTTATCCTAAATTTCCTTGCTAGTAGTGCATGTGAATACTAACATATAATCTTCAAAATTCAAAGAATAGAAAAAATATTTTAAAGGTTTAGCATTTAGTTGAGCATTGATTTATTCTACTCTATTACATTTAGAAAAAGAAATATTAGTTTTCACTCCATCTATAATATGTGACTATATAGAATAACCAATTTGAATCATATACTGCATTCGATAATCAATAGATTTCGAGATAGTAGACCTGTGAATTTTCTAAAAACCAAAAGAAATGTTTTCAAATAAAGGTGTAAGCGTGGTTAAATATCCTTCCACGATATTATAATTTCAAAAGTTATCCATTGTTCTTTTTTCAAAAGTTTCCTAAAGCTTAATTTATGAACCCCGCTGATACCACTTGAAAGTTTGTGAGTGATGTTAAATCCTAAAGAACTAGTCCCAAGGCTAACCAAGAGGGGGGGGGGGGGGGGGGGTGGATTGGTATTTTAAAAATATTTCAATCAAAACAAAAAAAAAAAAAAAAAAAAAAAAAAAACCTTTTATAACTTGATGCATGGGACGAAACATGGGATAACAAAAAACCATCCCTATTGATCATACAGTACGATCCAGATCAAATAGTATGATCAGAATATCAAAATTAAGTTGACTCGATTGACTAATCAAATGATTAATTTAGGTATGATTTTTATAGATCGTCCAGTGTGATGTATATCATCGTGAACGATTAGAACAAAATATAAAATTTAAAATCTTGCCTAAATTATGATTAGAAGCTATTTTTTATGATCATAACTTATCATCCTAGATGATCTAAATTATTCAATATGATTAGTTAGAAGAGCGGATCCTAAAGTATGATATAAATTATATTTTATAATTAGTTCAAAAATTAAACTTATGATTTGACTCAATCTTATTCCCACTAAGTGTGTGAGTGTGTGTGTATGTGTGTGCATGGTTATTAAGCTAGCATAAATACTTACAAAACTTGACTCAAGAAATTAAAAGTAAATTAATGAATATTACAAAAATCTTTATAGCATAACTAATTCTACCCAATCTTGAGCCTTAAATCTTCGTTAGATGGTGCATGATGCTCTTAAAAAGTTAATACACACAAACAAAATGATTACAAATTTAAGTAGATAATAAGAAGTGAGCCACAATATTTATTATCATCAAAAATATAAACTTGTGAGATCGAGTTGCAAAATTTACCATATGAAAGCATCAAAGGAAAAGATCTTGAATAATTTTATGTCATGCTTGACCCTATCAGAATAGTAAGACATAAAGGTTTAAGGATATGATATTTTCTTTATTATATCAAAATGGTGAATATAGATGATTCTAATGATGGGTCCAACATTTACGTAACCATATCAAAATGATGAATTTAAAATATAACTCAATATTACCATGGCCATATCAAAATGGTAAATAAAAGACATAGAAAAGAGCTTACAATAGCTTGACCATAAAGAAATAGTGAAAGAAAAGAATTTAATGACTAATCTAGCATTCACTTGATCGTATCAAATTGGGAACATTGGAAAATTTTATGTTCATTTAACCATTTTAAAATAATGAATAAAGAGATCTCAAGGGGTTTTGTGTCTTTTTTTTTTTTTGAAGAAGTGCATCTTGTATTAAGTAACAAAAGAACTAATTACAATTGTCAAAAGGATGACACTCCTCCTTGATTAATTTTAACAACAAGGAAGGAATGTTATCAAAGGAAAAGCTATCAAAGAAAAAACAACTATCTAATGCCAAAGTAGCACACAAATTAGCTACTTTATTACAACTTCTATAGGCATGTTGAAAAACAACTTTATTAAAGTCATTTTAGAAAAAGAAATCCCAGGCTGAACTGTTATCCACTAGCCACATATTCTTCTTTAAAGAATTTTGAAGGCAAGTAATAACATTGATGTTATCACTCTCTATGATCACCCCTTTGTATTCAAGCATCCAGCTTCTAACAAAATCCCTCACCGAGAGTGCAGCCTCCAGCTCAAGCTGAGCAATATCCCAATGAACTTTGTTCTTTCCAAATGCAAGGATGAATCTACCTTCGTGATACATGAAAACACCACCGATTCCAGTAAGGCTAGAACTAAGTAAGGAAGTATCAACATTAATCTTCATTTAATCTTTCAGTGGAGGGCACCAAGTGTTTTGAGACTCCCTAAGGAGGTTAGTACCCAAGTTAGCAAGATAAGGACTGGATTTGGTGATGGCTAAGGAAAGAGCATTTGCTACTACCAAAGAACAAGGTAGTGCAGCTTTTTAATGCTTAACATCATTACTATTTTTCCAAGAGAAGTAGACAATGGTGCGGTAAATTTTCACAATACCAAGATTCCGGGCTATTAGTCACCTTAATTCCTTTAAACAATGGTCCAAAGAATGGAACACAGGAATGTGAATACCCCACTCAAGCACCTGCATTATGATTTCAACCAAATACTTACATTTAACCATAATATGTTCGTAGCTTTCCACTACTTGGCAGCCTCTAGCACATATATCAGTCGACGAAATCATGTGGTTCCTGAGAAAGAGATTGGTAGGAATAGTAGATTTTCCAAGTCTCCACCAGAACATCTCCACCTTCTTGTTAAGTTTGAGTTTGTTTAGCCACATACAATATCCATCATCATTTAAATTGAATATGCACTTCACCACGTGATCATAAGACAGGGCAGTGACTGTCTTACCCAAACATAAACTCTGTAGCTCCACCCGATCCTCCCTATTAAAATCAATCTTAATTTGATTAATCAAAATAATAAGGACTGGAAAAAATACTTCCTTATGCAGGGTAAGATTCCAATGGCCATCAGCCAATATCAGCTGCTGAACATAAATCCCCTCCAGAGCATTACAATCAACAAATGTGGGCCATCGATTAATGCATTTGTCTAATATCCAAACATCATTTAAGACATTAATCTCATCACTATTGCCTACTTTCCATCTGATAATACTTTTAAGGTGTCTTCCTCCATCAAGAAATATCTGCCAAGCCTTAGAAGTAGCTTTCTTATATGTACCATTCATAACATCCTTCCCATACTTAGCTTTGATTGATCTATGGAACAAGGTCTCTAGTTTCTGCATAAAGTTCCATGCCAATTTCGATCTCAATGAGCTGGGTTTCATTACAGGGGATTACAAACCCAGCCCACCCATGCTTCTCGGTTAGCACAAATCATCCCAAGGAACATAATGTATACTATGGTTGCCATCAGGTTTATGCCAAATGAAACTTCTACACAGTTTTTCCAAAGCATACAACACTCTTTTTGGAATCAAAGAATGTGTAATTAAAAAGTTTGGCATAGACAATAAAGAGCTTGTAATGAGAGTGATCTTACCACCCATAGATAAAGACTTCTTATCCCAAGCATTGAGTATATACATCACATTACTCAAAAGATCTTGAAAGTTAGCCGCCTTCAACCTGTCAAGAGAAATATTTATCCGAAGATAATTCATCTCCTTGACCACTTTGAAGCCAAAAACTTTAGCAATCTTCTTCTTCATGGGGTATCTGACAAACTGGCCAAAAATAATTTGTGATTTATTGACATTAATCGTTTGCCCCGTCCATTTGCAAAAGTCTTCAAAAATACCCTTCAAAGCTTTAGCTAAAGCCATGGATACATGTGAGAAGGTTAGTACATCATCTGCATAAAGAAGATGTGTGATCTTTGGCCCTCTAGGAGAGAGTTGTATGCCAAGATTTTGACCCCTTTGCTCTAGAGAGTTGGACATCAATTGAGAGCACATAATGTAAAGGTAAGGAGAGAGTGGACACCCTTGACGGAATCCACTATGAGCATTGATCCACTTAGAATTATTTCCATTAATAATAATGGAAAATCTAACATCTACAACACATTCCATAACATGGTTAGAATACATAGGAGGAAAGCCATACCTTTTCAGAATTTGACCAAGAGTCGGCCACCCCATGCTATCATATGGTTGCTCCATGTCCAACTTCAAAGCATCAGCCCCTTTTTATTTTTGGAGATTTTGAACTTGTGGAAGATTAAACAGTTGGTTTCATTTCAAAATAATAGGTTTAATGTTAACAAAATTGCTTACAATAAGGATCCTTTTTCCCTTGATCAAGGATCTATTTGTTCTTTACTTCCTAGTTTGTATTAGGTTGTTATTTCTTTCTTTTTAATGCAACTTTGCATTTTCTCCAAAAAAAAAAAAAAAAACTTGTGAAAGATCTCGAGAGCTAGAAGACAATGCTCTGAAATTGATCTTCTCGGGATGAAGTCCATTTGTTCTTCAGTAATCATTTTGGGAATACTAGTCTTTAATCTATTAACTAGCTTTGTAGACGCAATCTTGTAATTCATCTAGCATAAGCTAATAGGCCATTAATTGGATGGAATCAAAGGGTTCTTCACCTTAGCAATCAGAACTATGATAGTATCCTTCCAATCCGTTCTCATTTCGCCAGAAATAAGAAAACACTTAATAGCATTCCAAAGATCTTTCCAAACAATATCCCAATAGCATTTGTAAAAAGAGGAAGTGAGTCCATCCATACCTGGTGATCTATTACTCCCTTGCTGACTGACCGACTATTGTAATTCATTCACAGAAAATTCAATGTTAAGTGCTGCAACCTCCTCAGGTGTCAGTTTCTAGTGCACAAGAATCTCTGGCCAGCCCGATAATTCCCATTCTCTAGGTTTCCATTTTGCTTCAAAATACTGAATGAAAACCTGTTCAATTTTATCATCTTCAACTTGCACCTTATTTTGCATATCTTTAATTTGATTCACTCTATTGCCACTCCTTCTTGCCGTAGCAAAATTATGAAATAGTTTTGAGTTTGTATCTCCTTCTTCATGCCATCTTGCTTTTGCCCTTTAATTCCACCAAGTGGACAATCTTCTCAAGGTCACATTAAGATCATGGATTTTGCTTCTGAGTAAAAGAAGATCATCAGCTGTCTAATCAAATCCCATAGCTTCCTTATTTTGGAGATCCAAAATCTCCTTTTTCAGTTCTTCCTTCAAAAAATTCAAGTCTTTCACTTATTTCTACTCTAAAAAAATAGTGCCTTTAAAGTTCTACTAATCTTCCTTTATAGCATCATACCTTCATCTCCAAAATCATTCTTCTTACAAGAATGGTATACAATACTTTTAGCTGCTGGATAAGATCTCCAAGTATCCTCAAATTTGATGGTTTTAGATTTGGGACGCACCTTTTCATCTAACTTGAAGGCAATAGGACTGTGATCCGATGCCACTCTTGCTAGATGTCTAGTAACGGCTACAGGAAGCTTTTGAAGGGCAGCCGAATTCAGAATACATCTATCCAGCCTTCCCCAAACTCGGGAACCTCCTTCCTTGTTATTTCACCAAGTGAACCTTGGTCCAATGTTACCCACGTCATGGAAATAAAAATTCATCATAAAACACTTCATATCTCTAAGACCTTTAGAAGAAAGGAACCTCTTACCACCTCTCTTCTCCTATTTGTTCAAAACACAATTGAAATCCCCACCAATAATAGAAGGAATAGAATTCTCCATACAACTTCCAAGCTGGCTCCAAAGGCTCTCCCTCTCCTTACAACATCTGCTTCCATACACTATAACAACCTTCCACAATCCCAAGTTAGGGATAAAGAGATCCCCAACTATCATTTGGGAAGAAGTCTCTTTGACCACAAAAGTCATAACCTTCTTATTCCAAAGCACTAAAATACCCCCAGACAGACCAACAACGGGAAAATGGAAATACTGCCAATCCTTCCCAATAAGGCCATCAACATCCTTTCTATCAATACTAGTCATCTTTGTCTCCATTAGTCCAACGAAAAAAACATCTTGATCTCTAACAACCTCTTTCAAATACAGAGCGGCCTCTTTCTTCCTAGTCCCTCTGCAATTCCAAAATAGTAACGAAGACATTATATTAGTGCAGGGAATCCCTCCCCATTTATAGAATTCAGCCTTCTATCCCTCTTCTTCTTCTTGTAATCTGGATCTAATGGCCCCAAAGATTTCAACTCTTTGGCATGTTTAATTTTAGTAGAACCACTGAAGAAAGATGTGCCTTTATTCACAGCACCTGAATCATCTATTTCCAAATCCATGTCGTTCAGTTTATCAGACACGTCATGCTTTCCCAAAGACTCTACTTCACTATCTTCAAGCAAAATAACCAATTTGTTATTTAAAGAAAGACCTAGCCGCATGTCTTCAGCAACTTTATCTTTATATGATCTATGTACTAAAGCCGATACAAAAATCTCCCCAACATCAACATTCTCATTCTCACTTGGTACTTGCTTCTGCATAATACTCACTTGGCTCATATTTCTTCTGTTATCAGACCTGACCCCATTATTATCATTCATTCCTTTATTAGCATCTAGTCCTTTAGTAAAACATCTATTCTTAAATTGGACAGTATCCAAGGGCCATACTCAGATTTAATCACAGAAGTCTTGGCTTCAGCCTCAGCTTGTATTACTTCCCCTATTACATTTTTTGGTTTCCTCAGCATTTGGTCTTTAATACCCTGAACTACATTCTCAAGACATTCATTCACCTCATGCCCTGCTCGACCACAATGGTAACACAATAGATTAATCTTCTCATATTCCACCCGTTGGAAGAATCTCCCAACTAATCCATCTATCCATACTGCATTAGGAAGTTTTTTCTCCAGGTCAATCATGACACATATGCGGGCGAATTCTCGTTTCCCCCACCTAAATGTATTTCCATCTAGATACATTGGTGTGCCAAACCGAGATGTAATTCTTGCTAGATTATCCTCACCCCAGCAGTATAATGGCAAGCACGGGAGTCTGATCCAAACTGGAGCTGAAACCCCTTTAAAAGAATACGGATCAAAAGCAGGGGACCACCTGTCCATGCCGACAATGAAGCCACTGACATACCACGGCCCACCATTCAGAATCTCTTCCACCACCTTATTTGACTTGAAGGAACAAAGAATCCAATTCATCCCAATAGATGTCATGTGGAATCCCCCGAACTTACTCCATTTCCTTCTCAATTCAATACTACAGACTGAGAAAGGAACATTTATACCTAGGACTTTAATCACTAACGAGTGCTTCAATACTTCATAATTCTTCGCTTCCCATTCTGGATTAAGCTTAACAGCAATCCCGTCATCAGATAACTCAATTTGCTCTATGTTAAAAGAAATCTTGATGTGTTTCGACTTCGACCATGCTCCAACAACCTCACCAATTCCATCCTGTCTATTGTTATCGTATGAATTGGTCATCAAGATTCCATCATTCATCAGATCCATTCCACCAGCATTCCCAACTACATTAATCTCATCAACCTTCTTGATTTCCATTCTTTTCAAATAGGACGTGTAACCGAGTAGCAAATTTTTGTGCTACTTTGGCTTTAGATGGTAATTTTTTGTTTGATGGCTCTTCTTTTGGTAGTATACCGTCCACCTTGGTGGAATTAATCAAGGTGGATGGATACCCATTTATCAAGTGTAATTAGTTTTCTTTGTTTCATCTTCAATGCAAATTTGCAATTTTCAAAAAAAAAAAAACTGAGATATATAGTTTATTAAAAAAAGACTTTACTTGATCTTTTTTTTCTTCTGTTTTCATTTCCTCTACCACACATTCTTTATTTTCAGAAGGGGTAGTGAAAGTTGCAACAACTTTTGGTTGTCAAATAGTCTTCTTGTATGATAGTGAGTTTGAATAACTTATTAGTTTCAGTCTTTTTATATAAAGATGGGAAGATAATTGACTACCTTTTGAATGATGATGATCAATTCTAGGGGATTGATGAGCCAAGGTTTGATACGATACGTTAGTCACTTTATTTTTCATTTGAACATATTTGGGAGGTTTAAGAAAGTTATACCTTTGATAAATCACAAACCTATATCTTTGATCACTAATAGAAACAGTCTTATGATTGAATTCAGAGAGCCCCCTTGATTCTCTTTAATGACATTTACTATTAATGGATTTTCATGTCAAACATCCCTTACTTGTATCTTTCTTTTTTTAGATGGAGGAACAAATCACTTTATAAAATATAATTTCAAGTCTATTAGAGATTACCCCCTCCATCGATTTTAAATTTTTTGACTTTGATTACCCATAATTATTTGTATAGTTTCGAATGAATCCATCTAACAAGTTCTTAAATTTCCTATTTTTCTCAGATAAAGAGACTATTTCTATACCTTTAGATAAGTTAGGAGGTGAAGAGTTTATTATACAAAGAATATTCTATTCTATGATAGCACAAGATAGAGTATGGAATTTATTTGGAATCTACTTTGGATATGGACCCAATCCAAGAAGACATGGAATTGGGTAGTCATTGATGTTTGAATTTGAGTTTGGTTTTAATGATTTAATAATGACTCCAATCCAAATTACTTAGCAGTTAAGGGAAATATTAAGTTTTGATTTCATTTTGATATTTTTTTATAATTATTTGACTAGTACCCTTATTCATAGGGTTTTCAATTGAGAAGATAGAGTTTTCAAGATTTAGATTTAAATTTAAATATTAAGTTTAGAGAAAGGATTTTATACAGAAGGGGAGATGACTTTGCGATTAACAATCTAAAGCAATAAATTTATATATGCATGCAAGATTGCACATAGGAAATATGCCTATCGATTCTCCAACCAAATCAGTATTCGTGTTGGCCTAGTCTACTTGATTTTTAGTATGTAATCAAGTAACCATGGGGTTGACATTATACTTTAAATAAATATGTATACATAAGACTATACATGGGTAGAACCCTTACCTGGCCATGGATAAAATTATTATTTTGATTGGCATATTAAACTTAGTTTTAGGATAAAATCAAGTAACCATTGTTTGACAGTGGAACTTAAATAAACATGCAAATACAGGACTATACATAGGTAGAACCACTACCAGATCTAGGACTAAATCAATATTATGGTTGGCTGATTGGAGT